TCCTGCTGCTTGGCCTGCTGTGTTCATCCAGCTCTACACCTTGTTATCGTTTTTCCAAGAAGGCGATTTAAGGCGCATGGAGCCTCTGGCTTCTTCCCAGAAACAGGGCCGGGTTAACGGCTGGCGTTTGGGCGGCGGGAGTGCGCAGGCGCGGTTAGCGTTGCGACGGAGTTGAGGATAGAAACAGAAGTTGCTGCAAAATCTGAGCATCTCTGATTTCTCCTCACAGATACTGCCAGATCCAGCAACTTCTGTTTTTGTTACATTACTTACATTGCTCTCTGTATAAGTTAGAAAAACGAGAAATGAAATTAGAAAGACAAACATTACAGTCTTTATGTAAATGGCCTGCAGTAGATCGGCGCAGGGTTCTCTACATGTGGTCTGTCCAACCTCCCAAGCCAATAACCGCCCGCACTGGACCCAAGTCCAGTCAGCGACCCCGCTCTGCTTGGGCGTCCAACCCGCTTTACCTCAGGCGAAAGGGGTGGTAAAAAGAAAACGGGAAATGAACAGAATGAGCGGAGGTGCTGTAGTTGGAGCTTTCTACTTCACCTCCAACTTGAACGCTTTTATTTTGGAGATAGTAGGAACTGCAGATGCTGGAGAATCTGAGATAACAAGGTGTAGAGCTGGATGAACACAGCAGGCCAAGCAGTATCAGAGGAGCAGGAAAGCTGACGTTTCGGGCCTAGACCCTTCTTCAGAAATTTTATTTTGATTTGGTTTGCTTTAACAATGTTGTCTCTCACTGAAACAGAAGCATACAGTGCTGCAGATTTTGCTTTAACAATAAAATGAAGTTCATTAGCAAAAGGGATGATTATAAAATAGAATAAACCAAACCATTTACTAAATACAGATTCAAAAGTTTATTTTTAAAAGCCCAGGAAATGTATAACTCTCAAATCCCAAAATCTCTTATAAATTGGAAAGGAACAAAACAGTTTCTTATACGTTACCCAACACACCACTCGTTGAATCATAGAAACTAGGAGCAGGAGTAGGCCCTTCATCCTTTGACCTTGGTCCTGTATTCATTATGATCATGACTGACCCTCCTCTCAGTACCCCACTCCTGCTTTTGCCCTGCACTACTTGATGCCTTCGAAATCTTTAAAAAAAAATCTCTTTCTTGAGTATGTTCAGTTACTTGGCTTCGCAGCCTTCTGCGAGAGAGAATTCCGCAGTTGGACTACCCTTTTAGTAAATTAATAACTTATCTCAGTCCGAAATGGCCTACCCTGTATCCTAAGGCATGTGCAGTACTCACACCAGAGTACTTGTGTCTTTTCAACTTGCTAGGTTTAACACACCTGTGGCTTTAGCTTTTGGACTAGAACTGTGAGCTTCTCCTTGGAGCTATTATATATCTAGCCTTAAATATACTCAGCTTTAAATAACCATTTCAGGGTTTAATCACCACACTTCTTCTGGTGTGGGACAAACACTAACTGCTCGTTCTAAGGTAACCTAGTTCACTATATCCCCTCCCCTATTTAGAGTTCTGCACAGCCATCCTCTTCCAACAACCTCACAGGTCTGATCAAAACAAAGTAAAACTGAAACCTAAAGTCTCCCTTTCTAAGCTATGGGCACTTCCCTGAAATGTTGAGGGAAAAAAAAATGTTCTGGAAGCTTCTACCAAATGTTGAGGCTCTATTATTTTCCTTATTGGACCACAAAACTATCTAAAACTAACGAAACATCCATTAATAGTGCATACAACATATTCAGTTTACTGAGATAACACGGTGTGGAGCTGGATGAACACAGCAGGCCAAGCAGCAAAGCTGACGTTTCGGGTCGGGACCCTTCTTCAAATTTTCTGAAGAAGGGTCCTGACCTGAAATGTCAGCTTTCCTGCTTCTCTGATGCTGTCTGGCCTGCTGTGTTCATCCAGCTCCACACCTTGTTATCTTAGACTCCAGCATCGGCAGTTCTTACTCTCATATTTAGTTTACTGTTAGGCCTCAATAAACAGGAACAGGCACTTTCAAAAGGAAATTGGATCAGCGCTTGAAGGAAAGAACTTGCAGGCCGAGGGGGAAACAGCAGTAGGTGGGCGGAGTTTGAAATTCAAACAAGTCACTTTGCTGCAGTTAGGTCACCATGACAGCAGTGATAAAACATTCTGTTCCACTTTCGCATTCCATTGACTCGTTGGAAACTAGGATAAAATCTTAAGGTCATTGGAAAGTGAAGAAATGAAGTCATGAGGAGAAAGTGAGTGGTTAATATCTGGAATGTGCTGTCTGAGAGGGTGGTAGAGGTAGATTCAATCGAAACATTGAAGAGGAAATTGTTTTATTACCTGAGAAGGAAGAAGCTGGGGGAATATCATTTGTTACAGGAAGAAGCTGAGAGATTAAGGCTTGCTGAATTGATGATTCAGGCACCACCACCATTTTGCTCCCCTCCCCAGTAACAAACTGCCCGATGCAGGCAGTTAATTGGTACCAATACCTTTTTTTTTCCCCATCCCACCCTCTGGATCTTATTGCTGCCACAGCGGGGACATTGTAAAATGGAGTTTGGTGCTTCTTCAGCATTTCCCTATAGCTGACACAGTGCAATTTTTGTTTTGCAGCCTCTAAGCTGAATGGCCTGAGTAGTTGGAGTCATGGAGACAGGTGTTTTGGCCCAAACTGGTCTATGCCAACCGAAATGTCCATCCATGCTAACCCCATTTCTCTGTGCTTGGCCCATATCCTTCTAAAACTTTCCTATCCATGTATTTGTTGCTTGGCTTGTTTGGGCCCAACGCCTTCTGGAAAGTAGTAAGTGTGAAAATATTGCTCCCTCCGTTGAGGTTTGTGACTCTGTCTCTCTCTGTGTTGTATCTGCTAGGAGGGGCTGTCCTCACAGTCATCCTCTGTCCAGTCCGATTGCTAGGCTTCACTTCAGAGCCCTTCACCTGCTGATCTTGTCCTCCGACATCGTTGTGCTGCTAGCCACCATTTCCCTGGGTGTGGCCACCACCTGCCTCGAGGTGTGAATATCACCAGCAGCTTGGGAAAGACTGGCCAGGAAACAATACCATTTAAAAACTAGCACCATTGTTTACTATAAATCATGTACAGAAGTATCTCGAGGGCAGAATGGCCTCCTCCTGTATTGCAATGACCTTTTTTAAAAAAAGATGTCATACATGTTTTTCTTTATTCTGGCATATAACACACAATAAAACAGGGAATTTCTAGACAGACCCTGCAAGAGTGGCACAGTAGCTCGGTGGTCAGCACTGCTGCCTTACAGCACCACAAACCTGGGTTTGATTCCACCCTCGGGCAACTGTGTGTGTGGAGTTTTCACATTCACCCGGTGTCTGTATGGGTTTCATTTTCTTTTCTTCATCTGTGTAGGTTTCCTCTGGGTGCCCCAGTTTCCTCCCACAGTCCAGTGATGTGCATTGGCCAAGCTAAATGGCCAGTTGTGTCCAGGGAGGTGCAGGCTAGGTGGATTAGCCATGGAAATGCAGACTACGGGAAGTAGGGTAACAAGTGGGTCTGGGTGGGACGCTCTTTGGAGGGGTTGATACAGACTCGATGGGCTGAATGGCCTGCTTCCACACTCTAGGGATTCTATGAAGTCTTTCTTCATCTGGGGATTAAATGCCAATAGTATACTTCTACCTGCGGTTAACAGGCTCGTGTGAACTCCTCCGTCTGCTATTTTAATGCAGACTTTATTTATTTTAAGAGTTAGCACCAGCCTTAAAGTGGTGGTTACTTTGTAACAGCTACAGTCAGTTTCAGACTGGAAATTTAAATCTGTTGTTTTCCTTTTGGTCAGGACCAGATCACAGTTTGAAACCAATCCATGATTTGACAGTACGTTTTGTTGCTCTTCCTGACTCTTAAACAAAACGATAACCCCGTTTTTGTTCTGTGTCTGGAAACTGGAAACATTGAAAAGTGCAGCTGGGAAACGTTTCTTGCACACCTCAGGATTAACCCACATGGGGACTTTGCTGTCAGAGAAGAGAGATGAGAAAGATCAAAGTGCTATTGGTCTCCCTCAGTGAGCTCTGAAGGACTGTGTCCAGGCTGAAGTTCTGCTCCTGCCAATGATCCCTCCCCAGATTATCCTTTGAGCTCCAGCAGGTGATGTTAAACACTCGGATGGGAAAGAAAAATCCACAGCAATATGTTTCAGTAAAGCTGAATTATTAACCATGTATTAAAAAATCAAGTTGCAGCTCAGTGGAATGTCCAGCTTTTGCTCTGATGTCCTATGTCATTTATGCATCACCCAGGCCCTGTCGTGACATCAAGACCAGAAAAGGTTGTAAGGAAAACCATCAGTACTCAACTCCCCATCGTCTTTTGAAAAGATGTGTTTTCCAGGAATTAATTTCCATCAATCCCATCTCCCAAAAAGGCTTTCCTTATCTTTTTTTTTTCTCAAGACTGAAAGTGAAATGATCTTAGCAGGTAAAACACAACAGACTTTAAATCTGACCTCATTTTTCAAATAAATAACTAAAAACCCTTTACATTCCACAGTGTCCAAACAGTTCTATATCTTCCTATTTTACACATAGATATGAATTTTATTCCCAACACGGTCCACGGTGCTCGAGGGCAATTCCACCAATCACAGTGACACTTACCAATCAGGACTAACAAACCAATTGTCTTCCTGATTACTTGCTTTACCTACATACTACTTTACATGATCCAAGGACACCCAGGTCCCTTTGCAATGCAGCATTCTGCTGTCTCCTCCACTGAAGGACTATTCTGCATTTCCATACTTCTTGCCAGAGTGGACATCCACACATTTTCTCACGATTAATCTTGATCTGTAATTTTGTTTTCCCCAATACCCTTCTTGCTTTGCAGGTTCAGTCTAACCTCCTCACAGCTTGCTCAACAAATTTATTTACAATACAGTTGACTCCTTCATCCAAGTCAGTTGTATAGATAACAAATAGTTGAAGTCCCAGGAGTGATTTATGATATGCCACAAGTTAAAGTTTGCCAACCTGTAAACTAATCATTTATCCTAACTATCACGCTGCTGTTAGTGAGTGAACCCACTGCCATGCTAACTGCCAACACCATGAGATCTTTCTTTGCACGGAAACCTTTAACCTGGCATCTTATTGAATGCTGGTTGGAAATCCAAATACACAACATCTCGTCTTCTTCCTCCACTCTCCTTGTCACA